TATTAGAGTAATAAGTATGTAAGAAGAAAGATGAATAAAATAGAACAAAAATTATAAAAAAGGTAATATTGATTAGCAATAATTAGTCAACCAAATAAGTAAATTATAAAATTTTTGCCAATAGCTGAGTAACTAGTTAGTGATCATTGTTTCACCGCTATAACTCATCTCCTCAAAAAGTAAAAAAATATCAAAGGAATGCTTTTGTCATCATAGTAATGAAAGTAATTAAGCCTATTTACCACAACACTCTCTTAGAGTTGAACATTATCCAATAATGGTCATTAAGGGTAGTAACCAGATCAATTATGAATTAGATAACTCTATAATTATTGAATATTAAATAATCAAATTTATAAGTAAAACAAAAATTTATAAGTTGGTAATTAGTTGGTAATTTGCAATTTATCTAATCAAGTTCTTGTTGGGTTTCATTGCCTTTCATAACTCTCTGATCCTAACTGAATCTGAAATAAAATGGAACATAAGAATGTTAGAATTATTGGTAACGAAGTTAAAGTAAATTTTTTCATCTCTGTGGTTAATTCTGAAGTTTTATAACCTTTTCAACTTACGTTAATTTTTTAGAATTAGTATCATTATAATCATTGAGGATTTATATTTTGAATGATTCTTCTTTACTGTTTCAACTATATCTTCATAAGAGTTACTTAGTTTTTCCTCTGATGTTATAAAATTAATAATATTTTTAGATCCAAACAACTCTTAATGAACCATTCGTCCATTCTTGTATGTTATTCGAATTGATTCTAAAACAAAACAAACTTTTGCAAACTTTGCTTTTGCTGCTTTAAAATTTAAATTTGAATATAAACTTAAACACATGCAAATTTCAGCAGTTACAACTTACACGAATATCTCATCTGGCAAACTATAAGCGCCATCAATAAGATTACTATTTGCAAAGCATATATATTAAATACAACAAAAATCTTTTTACATTAAATCAGCGATTATTCTAAGAAAATGTTATGAGATATCTAATAATTTTTCAGTTTTTTTTTGAAGAAAGAAATTTGTAATTCTTAATAGATCAAAATTAAATACCTCATAGAATTATCTTTAAAAATAAAGATGAATATGAATTAATGAATTGGTATAATGAAAGAACAAATAAAAATAATTTAAATATTATAACTTCAAATTAGAGAAACTATATTGAAAACGTATAAAATCTAAGAGAAAATTAACCTAAAAATGCAGATAGAAAAATGATACAACTTAATAACAATATGTAAATTGAATAAGAAAATAATTAATAAAAATAATAAACTCTCAATAAAAAACCTCATTATCTAACAATAATAATAAATAAAAAATACATAAAATCACTAGATTATCTAGTAATAGAAATAGATTACTATAGAACAATATACATAAAAGGATTAATAAGTTGATCCCTTGATAAATAATTAATCAATAATTAGATCATAGAATACTACTAAATCTAAAATAAAATTTAAAAATCAATAAAATAATGAAAATTCCTAAAAACAATAAGAAATCATAAAAGATTTAAACAATAGAAAATAAATTGATGAATAAGAAATGGATAAAATAAATTAAATGGATTTGGATGAACTAGCAAAATTAAGTTCTAGAAAGTCTTGGAATAATCCAAAACGATTAAATTAGTACAAAAAAATCAAATGATAGAATGCTAGTCACTATATAAATGCCAATTAAAATAAAAAAAAAAACCATCTATATAATTACTAAAAACTAATGTTTAACAAGAATTAAATTAAGGAAATATTTATTTAAAAGATGAAGAATTAATTTTATTGGATAATAGTATTCAGGAAACCTTATAAGCCTTAAACTTTACAGAAAGAAAAATTTAACATAAAGGGAAAAATTACACTATTACTTCACGCTTTTGTGTATAAACTGCTTAAATGCCTATAAATATGGCTAGATAATGGTAATATTTTAAATCTAAACAATGCATATAAGTTTATATGACACAATCATAAGTCATATGGTTATATTTAAATTTAATAATAAGAATATCTAAATAAATGGTCAAAATTTATTAATGAGAATTCAAATATATGGGAAGAATTAAAGGAAGATGAAATCCTTAGAAGATGTCAAAATAATTGCATAGAAATAATTGCAAAATCAGATGATAAAGATAATTCTAATTATAATATGTTATCGTAAGATAATGTTTGGTTCACTCATTCTCAGTTAAAATAAGTATACTTCTATCATATCCATTTTAATATTAAACAAACTTTAGCAACTTACATTGAAATAAAAGGAAAATTGTATATCCCTAACATTTTAGTAAAAGATCTATTATTAGGTATGAAAAATTATGATATTGGAATTCAAAGTTCACCTATCTTTGAACCTACATTCGCTCATGAGATTATATGTTGGCTGTGTTTAGGAATGGAAACTGTTAAAGTCCAAATGAGTATTATTTCCAAATTATTATTATTATTATTCAGTTTTTTTTTATTGTTATTATAAGAGCTGTTTCGTTCAGCTAAACTCGTATAAAAATTAAGAACAACAGATAAATAAAACTTATCTGTGCATTTCAAGTTAATTAACCAAGCAACAAATAAGTAAATATATTGATTCTTTTAAAGATATTTTACAGCATGAAACTGAAAAGAAAAGTTATGACAATTAGAATGAATAATTCAAGAATAAAAGCAGGCAAGAGCACAATTTGACCACATAATTTGGAACAGTTTAAATACTTAGCCTTTAACTGACTGTCATAGGTAAGCATTCAAAATGGGACCCAAACCTATATTTATTAAAAATTTTTACATGGTTTCCTACTCAACAGAAATAACCTAAATTAATCTTTTTACTAAACAGATTTCTTTTGTCACCATCAAGCTAATTTCCACATAAAGCAGACAAGACCGAAGGCTGCTTTTTGGAGATAAAATATTTATGAATAAGAGAAAATCAAAGTGGATGTAGTTTCCATAAATCAATTTTCTTATAATTATACAAATTAGCTCATTCTATTTAATTAATTTCTTTCATTTTTATTAATCATATAATAATACTTGATAAATAAATTAAAAGATACCTTTTTCTAAAATAATGTTGTTAGGAACCTGAAGTTTTTGAATATATAAATCTACAACTGCAATCAATATGTTTCCTTTTTTGATATAGATGTTCATGATGTTTTCTGAGTAAAAAGTTTTTCTTTGATTATTCCATCCTAAATTAAAAATGGACCAATCATATAAGGTGATAATATTTTTCTGCCATATAATTTTGGTGAAGATATTATTCATTTATCCATGAGAATCAAATAATAACCACAGAGTTATATATCTATTACTTTTTTTTGGGTTGAAATAATTATCTCTTTTTGATTTCTATAAAGAAATAGATTAGAAGTATCCATTCATCTAAATATACAATTATCTAAGAATTGTTTACAAAGTTCTAATTAGTATCAGCAATCAATTTCTCACTATCTACCTTAATTTTTTCCTTTTGATGCAATACATACACAGTTAGTTTTTGTTTTTGTATTATAAAATGCTGATTATTTTATCTTGCACAACCCATTAGTTTTATGAACAAAATTATTTTTATTGCTCATATTAATAACAATATATTGTGCCAATTGTGAAAATATAATGACTTCCAAGTCATTTCTAAACTACAATTGAAGATACTTTTCAAAAAAAAACTTCTGTCAGACATTTTTTTTCTTTTATTTGATTCACTCTCTTTTAGTTTGATTCATTATTTTATAAATACAATGGTGCCAATTACGATTAGTATTTAATCCTAAACTTTATTTAAAATCAAAAAGTATTTCAATTATTTTGATAAAGAACTTTTTTCTCAAATAGGGAGAAACTAATCGAGGCAGTGAAAGTGATGAATTAATTAAAAAAACTAATATTTTAAATCGGAATAAATCAACGTAAAAATTTAATATCAAAAGAACTACCATGATATAAAAAAAGTAGAAATCAAACTGGCATCAACTCTCCGTTCTAATATTCTACTATCTTCCAACCATAAATAAGGTACAATTATAAACAAAGGAAGTTAGAACAT